TCTCTCGAAAAAGCCTGCTGCTCTTTTTCTCTTCTTCTAGATTTGGATATCTGGACTTGCGTTTATTAGAAATAATCTTTTTTCTAAGCTATTAATTTTAGTTCTAATTGCACGATATTGTTCTTATATGTTGTCCCTAGAGTATCTCATTTTGTATATATTTATTACAGAATTCTTGTATCAAGCAAATAAGTAAAATTTTTTATTTCTTTTTCGTTTTTGATATATAGTCGACCAGCATAGTCTAGATTTTGCTGCGTACTTTAATTCCGTAAAAGAATTTTGCATTTCTATAAAGCTAATTACAAGATTGCTTCTAACAAAGAATGTCGATAAAACAGACGGCTTTAGGATCCCCTTAATGCGAGACGTACGTTCGTCGACAGCCTCGCGGCGCTTCTTCCGCAACGGGGTCAAAAATCTCGGTCAAAAGGCGACGCGCGCGCAGCTAGCGGAGATTTCATCTCATTATCACGCGCTTCTAATAATTAATCTTTTATCTCGCGTCGCGAGCGAGAGTGAAATGGATATGTGTCGGTGTTGCGACAAAGCTGCGCGTTGCAACGAAACACAGACGCCGGGCGCGTGCAATAATTCAACGGAGTTTCTGTGTCAAATATGGAAAGAATTTTGTAATTCGCGTGCAAGTTACTACCATGTGAGAATTAAAAAAGCTCATGCAACTCGTTGAGCGAGGAGAATAATCTTACTTTTGTTATGTCTAACAAAAGTAGAATTATTATTGTCATCTTCCGCCGAGCTCCACTTTGTTGCAACCCTTTAACGCGTGAGGGATGTATGTCGATCATTGAACTTTCCATTTAGGTCGTTTAATATTTTCGCTATTACAAGTAACATTATTATAAAATATTTCATGAAACCACGTATTTATGTTTAAATATTATGTATAATACGTGGAGCATTGTACTTTTTCTTAATAATAATTAATTCACGTAACAAAACTAGTCTCACCAAAGTGGAATGAGTGCGGACCTACGCGCGGCTTGAAAGGAAAGTTACCCAAAAATTAGTCTGGCATGGAACTTTTCAAGTCGTTTAATCCTTTGCAGTCCTATAGCGAGTAACAAATTTTCTTCTGCTAGTTTACTACTGTAACTTTGCACGCTGAGACGTTTTCCGTTATTGTTTGAACTTGTTTTGCAAGCAACACATTCGGATATTTCGAGAGCATCAAATTAGTAACTAAGTAACTTATATTATTGTTATTATAATTTTGCTTTATACATTCTTTTCTTGCTTTAATCTCTCTTTAGCGTAATATCCTTTTTTAAAGACACCTACAGAGCAACAAATTTCTCTCCTCGGCAACTTTTTAGCAACAAATGAGCAGCAAATAAAAATATTAATTAGAATTGCTGCTCATTTTGTTCCGCTGACTTGCGAGACGTTTGTAATAGCTCGCGCGAAAATAAGCCCAATAAAAAAATAATACTTGCTAACTAAGTATACGGCACGGGCGTTGGCACGACCTCACCGCGAGCAGACTCGACGACCACGGCGTCGCGGCGCCTACGTTGACGACCGCATTTGTCCCGGACTAGGAGTTACGTCACCGCTTGTCATTAATAATACCGCCGGCCGCCTTGACCCGGCCTATCAATATATCATCGCGTTCGAGAGTGCCCGGCGTGATATAATCCCGTCGTAAATTTGCCAAACGAGGCGAACCAAAAAAAAGAGAGAGAGAGAGGGGGGGAGAGAGAGAGAGAGAGAGAGAGAGAGGGGCTCGCGCACGGATCCTTCTTCCTGTCTCCCGAATATCAAAATTCATGGTAAGCGCCGTTGCGCGCGAACCGCCAGATTTGCAACATTCATCGGCGATACGTGTCTCCTCCGAAACGCGGCGCATGCACACTTTTACCGTAATTTACGGCGCGAGGCGTCGCCCCATATGTTCCCGGGGCCGTGAATTACGGGCGGCGCGGCGCGCGAGCACTCGGCACCGGCACCTCGGTGTGTGCGTCGGTGTGCCGCGGTAATGGAGTCCATATCTTCAAAATTTAACCTGAAAGCTTAGTACTTCGCGGAACAGAAGGGACCGCTCGTACAGCGGTTTATCACGCACGCGATGGACCCTCGCCGCGCCACTCCTCGCGTGTCAGCTCCATGTGCGCGCGCGCGCGTTATCGGCCGGCCAAGAGGCCAGAGAGCTGTACCGATTTCTCGTTCGATCGTCCCGACGGCAACCGCTCTATTCTGTCGTAAAGCGTCACGTAGGATCCATTTCCACGGCATATCACTTGTCAGTTTAAAGCCGAAAGCAGTACACGACGATTGTTCCTCCATTTATTCTTTCTCTTTCTTCTTTTTGTCCCTCCCTCCCCTCTCCCCCCCTCTCTCTCTCTTGTCGTGTCAGAAACAAATTGTCCTCAAATAGTTACAAGACGCCTCTATTCAAACAAACCTGCTAAATTCGATGTACAGGGTGTTACAGAGATATACAGAGCAGTATAACGGGTTGCCTATTCGTGCAGGCGCGCATGGTAGTTCACAATTGCGTAGGCTTCGTTGCGAGAGTAACAACAGTAAATTTGCCCACACGGAAGATGAAGTCACGATGAAGTAAAAATGTGACATCATAATGATTATAAAAATATTCATATTTTAACAGAAAATTAATGAAATTATGATTTTAAAATGCGCGCCTGCATGAATAGGCAACCCGTTATACTGCCCTGTATGTCTCTGTAACACCCTGTACATTTCGCGGATAAGCGGGTTAAGGCAATCATCCCGCTGTCTATCTAATGTAATTAGAACGTGTTTAATCGCAGCTGCGATCGCGTGAGATTACAATTTCTTCGCAACCGGCGACATGCATATATCAAAAGTCCACGAAAACGCGTTTATCTCGAGTTGAGACCCTCTACCCCCCCTCACTCACTCTGTCTCTTTCTCTCTCTCTCTCTCTCTATCTCTCTCTGTGTATCCGCATAATAAATCTTCCGGCCGACCGAGTTTCTCGTAATCCAATTAAGATTTTTGCGGCTCTGTCCTCATACTTTCACATCAATTACCGCGGCGATCCTGGCGGACCTAAAATTGCGGGCGCCGTTAAAATCGTCGCGTGCGCGTGGATTTTCCGACAACACCGAGTCGATAAGGACCGCTTTTTGCCACGAGAGCCTTGGACTTCTTCTCCAGTCGCGGCCCTCGTTAGAAAGGGGTTAAATCGCGCTCTATATATATATATATATATATATATGTAACATATATATGTTATATATTGTATACATGTATACACATCGGAGGGGTGGTCGGCGGCGGCGGCAAATGATCGATCGTTGAAGGACCGGAGGAGACTCGCTGTTCTCTTTCACGCGCACGCACATCGTCTGTCCACGTACATACACACGTGTACGTATCGCATATGCTCGTCCGCGCACAAGCCATGTGTACAAAACGTGGAAATAACGGGACAGAAAAAAAGGATGTGTATATGTCCCGCGAAGCGGAATCTGGGATGTTGCCGTCAAATAAACGTACTTTTTTATCGGCAGGAGAACGTTAGGCAATTTTGGAAAATGTTTTGTTTTCGCGTCTCCCCCGTGTGGACAATGCGCGATTTTCGTTATTACAAATCTCCGCGTTATTAAAAATGTTCATTGTTTATTCGAATACTTAAGGGGACCCTAAAGCCGTCTGTTTTATCGACATTCTTTGTTAGAAGTAATCTTGTAATTGGCTTTATAGAAATGCAAAATTCTTTTACGGAATTAAAGTACGCAGCAAAATCTAGACTATGCTGGTCGACTATATATCAAAAACGAAAAAGAAATAAAAAATTTTACTTATTTGCGTGATACAAGAATTCTGTAATAAATATATACAAAATGAGATACTCTAGGAACAACATATAAGAACAATATCGTGCAATTAGAACTAAGATCAATAGCCTAGAAAAAGATTATTTCTAATAAACGCAAGTTCAGAAATTCAAGTCTAGAAGAAGAGAAAAAGAGCAGCAGGCTTTTTCGAGGGAGGTCGCTGCCAAACATGTGTCAGATTGTCAGTAAAGCCGTGGTATTGACGATGCTAGAATTCGATCCAAAATCTCGGTCTGAGCAATGTGTAGCTAATAAAATTGCTGCTTTTTCGTAAAAGTTGTAAATTGATTGGCAAAAAATTTCTCAGACCGAATTCTAGCCCTCCAACTTTTTCTTTACTGCTCCCGAAAACACCGGAGACCCTGCAATCAGAGACCGGCCATAAGAGTTGGTCAAATTCCTGCGAGTGAGAGTGAACCATATGCTATCTCAATCGAAGAAATTTGACGAACTCTTATGGCCAGTCTCGGATTACATCTAAAGTAGAATTTGGAATTAAAAATATCGATAATTGACGTTTTTAATTCCGTCTCCTATCTTATCGACACCGATCGAGTTCGTCAGCGGCTTTAGGATCCCCTTATAATACATTGTCACGTTTTTATTCTATATATATTTATGCACGGCATTATATATAATCGCGGATATAAGAGAAATGTTTGGTAGCGAGGAGAATAAATACACTTTCAATCACAGAACGGCGACATTTCTAATTTGGGAGTGGATTTTCTTTTCTTCGCGTGACTTGAAGAATTCTGCCAGAAATCGCGTATCTCCTCTCTGCGCCAGGCTTTCGGACGAATTTAGAGCCGATGTATTCTTGATGATATCATGATTGATGTACCTAATCTTTCTTCGTAGAGTCAGCAATTTCAATATTAAATATCTCGATGTAGCTAGACATTCAATGGGAAATCTTGAAAGAAGAATTGGCTTAAAGGAAGATAACTAGCGAAAAGATAGTTTGAATACGAGTACAGTCTAGCGAATGTAGAATACGTCCAGATTGAAGCTTTTTCAGTCCCGTTCGTCCGAGGATCATTACGGGCATCCGCTCGTAGGAGGAGAGTCAAGAGACTGCCGGGACGACCGCGACGGGGTTATATTGATTAAGGAAGTTCGCTTTGTACGAAACACGTTGTTTATACTTGCCTTCGGTGACGAAGACGAAGATCGATGCCGGCTTGGTGTTGGAGGCGCTGCACGTGTAATTGCCCGTGTCCGTCTCCACTGCCTGGCGAATCGTCAGCCGGCTCTGAGTTGGTCCTGGATCGGTTTGTACGGTCACGCTGCCGCGCGTGGTGTCGTAGTTTATCATCCGGTTATTGTGATACCAGAACACGTATTGCGGCGGCGTCGGGCTCTAGAACAGATAGAAGAAGAATGGCGTCGGTTGACAAGCATGAGATTTAACGCGCGGATTTTTCCCAGTACAAAGGCGACGACCGGAGAATCGTCGGGCCGCAGGCCCGTGACATTCGTTATGAAGGAATTCTTTCGGGGAAATAACGCGTCTTTGTGCCGGGCGTCATGAGTGCCGACAGGATTTCGCTTTGCGGTCTCGATGCTTTTGTCCGCTTATTTTTCGTCGACTGTACGCTAAGAGACTTAGCTTCATTTTTATGCATTTATTGTTCATCGTAATAGCGATGCTTTAACATAATTAGCACTCATGCTATAACCGCGAAATATTTTTTGTCAACATCCTGCGTACTTGTTTGCTTCACTTGGAAGTGAAACTATACAGAAACATGCCAATTCCTTTGACTTCCACACTGTCGTCATTACGTGATATCCGAAAAAGAACTATCGTACTACGTTCATCGCGAATTGAAGATAATTAAAGATATTTTGTATCTTAAAATCAGCAGCCGTTGTTAATAAATATTGAATGTTGAAATGTCAACAGTATTGGGTCAGCAATACTGAGCAAACGAAAGGTAAAAAGTATCGACGAACCAAGCTTGAAGAATATATGTGAAAAAGTGCCTGATGTATTTTAATTCATATTCCACGATGCGCAAAATTTAATCTTAATATCAAGACTATAACAACAAGGCACCTATCCAATCAAATCTTAATTGAAAAAGCCGCCGACCCTTTAAATAACTTAAAAGAAGCAATTTTACGCTATCGTGACGGTGATTTTGAGATGTCGGTACGTTTATGCAGTAAGCGTGCGTCAAATGTATCTTGAAGTAATTAAACGTCAACTTGCGAGAGGTTAATATTTGCTTTTGCGTGCCCCGGCTAAACGCGCGAGGGAATTTGGTTGCAAAAACGCGAGTTCACATAATAGGTGGGGGTTTTCGTTGAATGAGCGCGCGGAATTCAGCTGTAGCTACGAGCGATGAGGCCCATCAACCGTTTATTATAACGCCGGATACACGTTTACAGCGGCCCTGTCGTGCCACAGAATACAGGAAGGATAGGTGCGTGAAACGGCGTTGTTGTTAAGGTCGAATACTCGCCAACTTCCAGCCACAATGTCGTCAGGAAATTTGCAATATACTGAGCGATGACAAAACCGTGTAAAAGGTGAATAAAAGCAGCCCCTAAGTACTTCAGCTCCAGGTTCCCAACGTATCTTATTTGTTCGCCGATATCCTCTTACTGAAACGTTGTCTCAAAAATACTTCATATGCAGCTGCTTCGCAAGTTTGTGAATATATTATGGAAGAATTATATAAATTTTATTAGGAATTTAAATAAATAAAAATATCGCGTCGCGACATGATGAAAGCACAATTTTTCGCCAAACGTGCAAAAGCTCGCGTCAGTTTAAAACGTACAATTTTGTTAGCCACTGCTAGCAGCAAGCTCGTATTGTCTCATTACCAGTTGGATGTATGGCCGCCACCAGAGCCGACCTTACAGCGTATAAATTTCCGTCCAATGTAGCCGCGCGGGATCAGACACGCGGGATACTGCTCATCACCCGTTTATTGTAACGTCGGATGCGCGCATATTGTGGCGGCGGCGTCGAGCCGCAAAGCGGACGAAGAATAGACGCGCGAAGCCGTAGCGTACGCGGCGAGGGTGCGGGATGCCCCGAGGATTTTCGGCTTCGTGGGTTGCCGTCCGGCAAAGCAAGTGCAAGCCGGGGAGTCGGAGGTTACGCATTCCTCTATGCTGAATGCATCGTTCTTTTGTTTCGTTTCATGTTCCTCAGGCCGCCGTGCAGCGAATGCCCGCCACCCTGTGTACGTACGAGGGTGTGTGCAATGTCCATCCAGAGAAACAATCGCCGAACAAACTTGGTGCACAATGATAGAGACAAAATATAGTTGTGAAAAAGCGGTCTAGAAAAGTCATTGTAGTTTCGAATGCACGTTTCGCGTTGTTGAATTATCGAAATTAAATTTGTGACAAAGGTGGCACAGAGTGTAGGGTAAAGTCACCTAATATTGACTACCAGAATATTACGCGATATTACGTTCTGGGCGATATTAGGTGCCTTTACTCTATAATTATCAGATAGTTGTTCTTTTTGCATAATAAAAAACGTAACTTGCAACGACAAATTATCTGAACAAATTGCTCTTTCGATATTTCTCTTCGCGATTCGTAGAGCCATAGATTTCCGCTCATTTTCTTTTTGGCTGGAAAGTACCACATTTTTGCAATGTTCCTTCCTTTCCGTAAGGAATTTCAGCGAATTATCGTGTAATTAACTCGGTAATGCTGCATGCTGCGAGCTTTTTGAAATATTATCGTCGATTTTATGCCGCTAAAGGCAAATAAATCCCTCTAGAGACGCTGGCTGTATGCAATTCACTTTGTGCTTTTAGGGATTCATATAAATTACACCATTGTTCTCGCGAGACGACAAAGTGGAGTTTCAACGAGGCAATGCGAGTTACGCGCGGTAGAAGAAAGCGAATTGTATCAAACAAGTGGTACAAACTATTAACACCGCGCTAATTACGCCACTACTTATCCCGGTAGCGGTATGCATAAAATGCATGCATAATGTAAGACACAAGCGATGGCGCCTGTTCGTATGAATGAGAATTACAATGTCAATAAAACGAACGCAAACATCTGAGATTGAGTGTGTTCGTTCTTGCATAAATTTGCATTATACCGTAATGATATTATTAGTATAATTCGTAAACGGTATATAATGATTTATTAATGCCATAGTGATTATGAATAAGCATGTATGTGGAATTGCGCGTGATCGGTGAGATTAATATATGCGTGTAGATAAATCAATAGATTGATTTCACAGTCCAGTTTTGTTGGATTTACGCGATACTGCAAACAAATTCAACGATTCCAGTTTAATCAATATGGCTTTATCTTCGCGGCCGGAAACAAATGTTGATTATTATTTTTGGGATATCGAATAGACTTACGCGTATCACGTTGCAGGTATAATAATCGTTCTACGTTTCTGACAATTAGCAAAAATGTATTGTCGAACATTTCAATTCTTCATTTCTCTTAATGATATTTGCAATATTTTTCGCAACGCTTTTACAATGTTCCAAAAAGGGAGTTTGCGTTTTTTACGTGATTGATCGTGTTTGTTTCCGCTAATAATATATTGCCGGAATTTCATGCTTCCTTGAAAAGTTCGAAAAAGTAGCGAGCGCGCATAGAAACGGAAAAATTGTGATGGAGGCGTAAAATCTCAGAAGTTACACTTTGATCAAGCCGACAATGTTCTTAAAAAAAAATCTTCATCCTTTTTTTCGCGAACGCTCGCATTTACGTCGTTCAGTGAACTAAGTGCCGGCAACGTTGCGTGAATCACGTCGCTCGCAGTGCTAGGAGAAAAAACTTGAACGCGCGCGACAGCGAGCGCCAGGCGCGAAGTAGAAACGGACGAATCGCGACAGGCAAGTAGAACGAAGCGCGACGAGCGCGCCCGTCCCTCTCTATTCTCTGCCGAGAAAACAAAGTGCGCTTCTATCACTTTCTTTAAAGATACGACAGTTTCTGAAGACGCGGCATACATCGACGGTACAGAACGAACAGATGGTTGTTCAACCGACACAAGTCTGAGCGAGCAGTTGCAGTTGTCACTTTAATTTGGGATTAATTGCAGATTTCATTTTGCACGGGAAATTTCCCTCAACTCGCGAAAGAAATCTTTGTAAAATTCGTTGTCCGAATTATTTCAGTTTCACACATCGATCATGTGATAAAAAGAGTTATCGCTCTACCGAGAAAATGTCACAATTTCGTCCTAGGTCGCAGCTTTCGTAAAATTTCGTACTGTCCATTTGGTGCCTCGTAGGATCAATTGCCACGGCGGAGCTGACGTTTTTGAAAGAAATACTCGTATCTTCGAGAAGGATTCCACAATTTCAGGCACCGTTTTTACAACGGAAATGAAAGTAAAACCTCTTACGATCTAACTCGTATCGAGGAAATTCTTGTAGACACACGTGTTTCGGATTTAACGACATACAGGGAGAAATAAAGCAAAGTACAGGCTGTAACCATAATGAACAAATAAATAAAATAAAAATATCACTTGTTGGAAACAGTTGCAGGATTATTCTATAAAATGGGCACTTTTGAGGAAATTCTCCGTTCTCCCGTTGAAGTAATGGGCTAGTGCGTACTCCCCATACGATGCTATTTGACATGATGGAGTATTCAAGAGAGAGGAATCTCTAATGGCATATCTTACGGGCATGCTCTTCGCGATATACTGGATCTATCTCTCGACGCTGAAAATGCGGTAGAATTCGTGTGCGATCAATCACGGTAATTGCGACGCTACGTTGAACGTAATAATATTTTCCAATGATAATTTTGCAATTCATAGCCGTTGCCTCTCAATAAATTAATTATATTAAGTGAAGAGTAGTTAACTTTTTAAAGTTTTATTACGATTCTTAGGCTGATCGTCGAAAACACTCCAGGGTCTTATTTACGTCCTTTGCGCTGCAATCTCTTCAATCGACTTTGTAGCGCTCACAAAATGTTCTGAACCGACTTTGATACAAATACAAATGTTAGAGTAAATCGACGAAATATAAATTGTTCGTTTAACTTTATGAAGTAAATGCACTAGTTAAATCGGCCGATCGGCAAGACAGGCTTAGCGCAATATTTGAAGGTAATTTCTTCTTTTTCGAATATCCAATACTTAAAGATGCTGAGACACCTGGGAAACTCGTTGATGGGCCGATGCAGAATCGGAGAAATATTTCAAACGACGGGGATTAAATTAATTCGGTTTAACGCACTCAGAATTTGCCGTTTTCGCAGGTCAAATGTCAAATCGGCGAGACAGATTTAGCGAAATATTTTAAGGTAATTTCTTCCTTTTTCGTAGCGTGGCACTTTTTATAAATACGAAAGTCGAAATAACGAACGTCTCACGTTAATGGCCGCTTAAAG